CGCATTCGTCCTCGCGCACCGGTTCGCCTTTACGGATCTTGGCGAAGATCTTGGCCGAGAGTAGATACCTTGAAGGGGCACGTACATTGTACGCCTTCTCGAACTTCTGCCGCATCAGCTCCACAGCAGGGTCGGGTTGAGCCTCCGAGCCCTTCGCTTTGGTACCGAAGAGGTACCAGGGCGGATGAGACGTCGTACTGGGCGGTAGGCATAAGCTTCTCGCGGATGAAGCTCACGACTTCAGGTGGGAGTATAAGCTCGGAGCCGGGGTACAGACCAGACTGTTCCGGGACTTCAGCGCTCTCTGGTACCGCTTCGCCAACGTCGATGGTAACAGCCTCCCCGGAAGTGACTCCGCAACTGGCGCCACTTTGCAGAGGCCCAGGATAGGGGGCGGCAGTGGCGCCCGGGTTCCCGCTGGCCGTGTCGAGACCGAGAGTCGTGCCGACCGGACCAGCACCGCCGGGAGCGGGGCCGCTGCCCGAGGCCATCATGTGGGGCTGCATGATCAATCCCTGAGTCAGGGACCGCGTCGACAGTCAGGGACCCTGACTGTCGACGCGGATGCCTCTGCCTAGAGGGCCTTGGCCGTCGACGGGTGTGCCGTCCGAATTGGAGCTGCTCGCAGGAGAGGACATTGCAGCAAGCAAAGTCTGAGACACAGCTGGACGTCGCGATTGAACAAGATCGCCATGGGGGAGCCGAGCTCGCCACCCCGGTAGCCGCGCAACCCAAAGACCTATTCGGCGCGGCAGCTGCCGCTTGAGCTAGGCCGGGTGCAACGCTGCAGCATCATGGGTCCGAAAGAACGGAGGGAACCTCAAAACGTTGGAAGCCTATTAGAAGGGTTCCTCGGGCCGTCGGGACATCGCACTGAACGGACCGCACTAGGTTGAAGGCGGTGGCACACGCCGCCTGCCCTAGCGCAGACTCGCCTCGTATTCTCGAGGCATGAAATAAGTTATGCACGGCATGCACCGGCTGCCTTCGTAATGTCGTGCTGATGTTCGCACGTACGTACGAACCGTTTCGC